CAAACATGCTGGTGGCAGAATTTTAAAAGAACAGCAAAGAAAAAACAGAGACTCATTTGTCAGAGTCCTCAGCTTAAACAGATAGCATTCCACTCCAAATGGTGTTTGCTTCTGAAAAATGACTAAGGTGCTATTTCCAAACCTGCTGTAGAGCCTGACAATAAAATCTTTGTCCTGCAACCTCCCACCCAACAGTGATCCACTTCACACCGAAGGAAAGGACTTTCTCATTTCTGGCAAACAATAGTTTGTCATACGGATGGAGATAGCACACTGACTGGGCAGCAACCATCCTGGCTGTGCTTTCAGGGGCTAGTCTGTGACAGTAATGGACATTTCTCTTTCCAAACCTGATATGCCTTCCTTTGGAAAGTTATTACTTTAATAGTGTTGAAGCAGCAAGCTATTCCTCTTGACAGCGCAATATTCGGGCATTACTCACAATTCAGCTAGAAATTAAATCTTTTAGAGGCATTTCCTTCTTGTGTGATGAAATCAGATCATTATTTTTTACCCTCATGTTTCCTGTTTATCTGTCAGTGCCTGCAAGCCCTGGATTTCCTTCATTCAAAGCAAGTGATTCACAGGGACATCAAAAGCGACAACATTCTGCTTGGGCTGGATGGGTCTGTCAAATTTGGTAGGTATTCATCATCAGGCACATCCTTCCCAGGCTGTGGCACGGGGCTGCTTTTGACTGACTGCCAGTTCCCCAGAAGGGATGCCTGTGGCTGTGCGCTGACCACTGCTGCCAGTTGCAAGCACAGTTCCAACGTGCAGAGAGGCAGAGAAAGGAAAAAGGTGTCAAGAATGGCTTTGGTTTGTGTATGGCCCTTCCAGAGGGAGGTAGTTACAGTCTAAAGGTTCAAGTCAATAAAAGCCACTGCAGGAAACTTGAGGGTTTTTTTTAAGTGGCCAGTTCAGTATTTCCGTGGCTACAGCACTGAGAAAAAACAAAGCATGGCCGCTTTTCCAGACAGATTCCACAACCTGTTCTCGGGTATAGAGTAGGGATTTCTTTTGCTCGCTTTCCTAATTCAAGCTGCCTTTAACAACACTTGTTTTTCTCCTCAGCTGATTTTGGCTTCTGTGCTCAGATCACCCCTGAGCAGAGTAAGCGGAACACAATGCTCGGGACTCCATACTAGATGGCACCAGAAGTGGTAAGAAAAGAAGCGTACGGCCCCAAGGTGGACATCTGGTCGCTTGGGGTCGTGGCTATGGAGATGGTGGATGGAGAACCTCCTTACTTCAGTGAAGAGCCTCTCAAGGTAAGGTGCACATAAAATCAGATACCACTGTCTTTCAAATCTATCCCCTGTTAGTCCCCCATCAGACAAAATCCCAGCCGCATCAGCTGGAACTAGTTCCCCCACGGCCCGCTTCTAAAGCTCTCACTGGAGCACAGCAGCATCTCCTGTAGCTTTGCTGACATCAAGGGGAGAACCTCCAAAGAGAAGTGACTTGTATGCAGGTCAGAAACGTGCCATCTCTGCCTTCAGTGGGGCTTGAAATACCTTGTGCAGTTTTTGAACTCTCTTTGAGCTGTATCTCTGAGTGACAGCGATTTTTCAGCAGCAAGTTTCTCCAATTGGGGAATTTTTCTGAAAAGCATTCCAGCTGTGTCTGCAGGCAGAGAAGTGTTTTCAAACTGGGGTCAGTGCTGATGACTTAACTGAGCCTTTCAGGAGGTGTCACTGCTTATAGAAATGCCATAATTCTTCATTAGCAAATAACTTTCTAGAAGTATGTTTTAGCACAGAAACTTGTAGTAAACAAAGGCATTTTTAATTATTTGAAGTTTTCAGTTTCATCCTCATTCCTTAAAATGAAATGACCAGCTCTTATCCCAAATGAACGTGTAATAGTGGAGGAATGTATACCAAGATAAACCCTCATGACTGGTAGCTGGAATAAAGTTAGATGCTGCACAGTTAATTCCTGATAGGGATGGAGGAATTTATGAGAAAATTAATTGTGACCCATGTGTATAGATACATAATTACAGAGCATGACGTGTAGCTTTTCTCATAGCAGTCAGGCTGCACTCTCTCTGGTCTATGGCACCCAGACTGCATGCTGCAGGCTGAGAGAAGCAACAGCAGAAGGGTCAGGACATACCCTCCGGCAGGCTACTTAAGAAAGGAATACAACAGCTACACCAGTGTCAGTCCTCCACTCTGTTTGAACAAAGGTTTCTGAGTTTTCTTGGAAGACTTCTTTTGGTTTGGTAGGTGCCACAGGGTTTTGGTTCCAGTGCACACAGGAGGAGCGGTGTGCACTGTGCCACCTCATGAGGGGGGAGAAGAAGCAAACAGGTTTGGGTTCAGCCTGGTGCTGAGTAAGCTGAGTGCACCACAGCCAGCAGGGTGGCAGTAGGCCTGTGTCACTGGTTTGGAGGCTGAAAATTCCAAGCTTCTTTAACCTCAACTGTTGATTAGGGCTCCTCGAGAAGCATCAGGTCAGCTGTGAGGCAGGGAACTGGATTTCTTATCTCTGATCAAATTCACATTCAGTGATTCCTGCCCCTGCCCATATTATTTGAGATGCTCTTCTCCCTACATGCCTCGTCTGCTGCAGGAGTTGAGATCAGCTTGAGCACTTAGAACTTCAAGATGTCTTCAGGTGTCTGAGTCAAACTGCAGGAGGTTAAAATCAGGCCTCTGGAGTTGGTCCCATCTGTATTCGCTTCCTGGAGTCTTGTGCAGAGGTTGTTGCCCCTGAGCTAGGAACAGTGAACAGCTTGTGATGGACCCCCTGCAGTTCCCCAGTTCCCAGCTGGTTTTATGAAGGTGAATCAACACCAACAGGGACAGGATCCCTCTGCTGTTGTGTGTGGAACCGCAGAGTGCAGCAAGAGCTCTCAGCTGCATCCAAATAGGAGAGCTGATAAGCAAGACCTGTGTTTGCAGGTCAGATTTTTAGCTGATGGCACACAGTAGCTGTTGGGTTTAATAGTCACATTTAGACCACATCCAGGGAGTTCTGCGAAGCCTGGAAACCAAAGGATGCTCTTTCACATTTTCATGAATGCTTGTTTTAATAGAGCAAGGCACGCAGCAGCTTCCGTTACTAACATGAGTTGAAATACTGAAATATGCTATAAGGGCATTAAAGTATCATTAATAGTAGAGTTAGCACCAGGCTTAATGTAGATGCATTTGTGCTTTTCCACGTGTAGAGCAAACGCATCCCCTGTTGCTCAGCTTCTTTCCAGCCGATGCAGAACTCACAGGAATGAACCGTTTGCCAGCCAAGAGTGTCCTGGATATTTTTGTGACGGTGTTTGTTTTCTCTCACTGTCATTTCCTTCCACCAGGTGTATGCCTGGGGCCTGAGAGACAAATATTGGTGCGATAAATATCCTTTGAAATGCCGGTTGGACCTCCTCAGTTTCAGTTTTAAGAAAACCCAACAAACCAAATCCTGGGCATTTCTGTTTGCTTTTGCATTTATTAACCGCAGTGCATCAGTTTTCTTCAAAACTGTAGCATGTTTTCCAAATGCTGCGGATCTTCTACAGTTTCAGGCTTCTAAATCATCTGTATGTTGTTCTGTCATGTATCTGGGTGCCCTGGATAACTTTAGGGTATCATTTTCAGAGACTGCAGCTGCAGTTGTATGCCAAATCCATTCTTGTTTCTTGGTACGTTAAAGAAATCCATGAGCTTATTGCCCCTTTGAAGCTACTGCAAATACTCATTTCCTTTGTACTGTACTTGATTTTCTCTGCCAGCTGGATCACAGGAAAGCAAAAGAGACACAGGAAGAAGGTGCTTCAGCTTCCCCTAGACCTTCTTCTGTGGTCATAGAACCATTTAAAAGGTGCAGTACCCAGCTAAAGATGACTCTGCTGATTGGTGTTCTGTGAAGAAAGGAGCAGCTGAAAGAACTTCCTTTGTCCTGGCGCTCCTGTTTCACAGCCAGGCCAATGTAGCCGGAATAAAATTCCTAAGGCTGACATCGGTGCTGTGTTCCTTTACCGCAGGAGAAGGGATGTCCCTGGGGCAGCACAATTTAGCCGCAGTGAGGACAGGCCCTCCAGCTCACCGCTGTGCCTGGTGTCTGAGGTCAGCTGCAGAGGGACAGGACAAGGCTGATTTTGTGACACTTCTGTTGTGGGAAAAGTAGAGAAACTTCCTTTTATTGTTTTTACTCTAGGACGGTTCATTTGCCTTTTTAGGTCTGGAAATTTTCCTCTGTGTTTAAGAGGATAAGAGCAAAGTCCCTTTGACCACCATCTCTTTAAATGCCAGTAGCGCAGAGCTGTTCTTGTCATGGCAGATATTTTTATGGAAGACTCCTAGGCCTATTTCTATTATTATTGCTGTGTATCGGAGATATATTCTGCAAGTTTAGGCTTGAACAGTTCAAAACGTTTGTCCTGCACTTCTAAAGAATATCATGCAGAAGGAGAATGAACTCATCTGTCCAGCTTCTCAGCATGTGAGACCTTGGTTCTGAGTGAACCGCCCTGGATAATGCTCACCCAATGTTTTGCAAAATTACGTTCTAATTCCTTGGCCTGAGGTCTGTCAGGAAGACTTGCTGATCTGGAATTTGGAGACTGCTGACAGACATAGCTGCAGGTGGCTCCTGTCTGCTCAGTTATGCGTTTTATTCATAATCTATTTGTGCACGCAGCTTAAACATCTGTATTGAAAACGAGATTCCAAATGTTTCTGTTTCTTTATCCAAGGAATAAGATGATGGATCTACTTTTTTCATCCATTTACCAATTTTATCTAGAACAGGGCAAAAAAACAGACTACCTTTGTGTTATGGAAGCTGTACTTTGGGGAGCAGTGAGCACTGCAGGGATGCATTTTATGTAATAATCCTTTGAAATAATACAGCTGGGCCAAATTCACTCTTAAAATAGCCACTAAAGCTGGTGTCGATGCATGGAGAAGCAAAAAGTGCTTTTGCTGATGTAGTTCATACTAACCAGGTCAGCCAATGCAATCAGCTGTCAAGGCAAGATTACGTTGATGTTGGAGTAGTTGTGGCTGCATCAGGGTTTTTTTGTAGGTATAGAAAAATCGTCTCTAACCCTCTGCCAGGAAAGAAACTGGACTTTAAAAAACAGGCTCTCTATGAGCAGTTCTGGGTAAGAAAGAAAACGGGTGGAGTCTCGTGTTTCTTGTCTCTCTAGGCAATGGATCTGATAGCGGCCAACGGGACACCGGAGCTGCAGAACGCCAAGCAACTGTCCGCTGAGTTTCGGGCCATTTTGAGCTGCTGCCTGGAGGTGGACGTGGGCAGGCGAGGGTCTGCCCAGGACCTTCTGCAGGTAAAACGCGAAGCGGCTGCAGGTGAAAGAGCTGCGCTGTGTCATGGTTTTCTCATCAGCTGAACTCGAAGGCATCAGATGGAGCCCCCTCATGCTAGTCTCCAGCCTCGGTGCTTTTCAGATGAATAGTAAGTGGAATCATAGAATGCTTTGAGTCGGAAGGGACCTTTAAAGGCCATCTAGTGCAACCCCCTGCAGTGAGCAGGGACACCTTTGGCTGTATCAGGTTGCTCAGAGCTCCGTCCAGCCTGACCTTGGATGTCTCCAGGGATGGGGCTTCTGCCACCTCTCTGGGCAGCCTGTGCCAGTGTTTCACCACCCTCAGGGTAAAAAATTTCTTCCTCATATCTAGTCTGAATCTGTCCTCTTTTAGTTTAAAACCATTACCCCTTGTCCTATTGCGACTAGCCCTGCTAAAAAGTCTGTCCCCATCTTTCTTATAGGCCTCCTTTCAGCACGGGAAGAGCACTAGAAGGTGTCCCTGGAGCCTTCTCTTCTCTGGGCTGAATAACCCCAATTCTCTCAGCCTGCGCTCACAGGAGAGGTGTTCCACCCCTCTGACCATTTTTGTGGCCCTATTTTGTATTTTGGTAGTATGTTCAGTTTTACAGGGTGGCAAAATAACTGCAGTGGAATGATAGCAGGTGCAGAGGCCTGAAATGGTGTTGGGGACTGGTGTATGCCGAGAGAAGACCAGGGAGGAATGCAGTGAAGTCATTCCCAGCCACTCGGTCAGAGGTTTGGCGGTGGGAAGGAAGGGGCTGTGGGTGCTCCCTGTGAGCATCAGAGGGGCCCCGGCTTGTCCCTCCTGCCTCACTCTTAGAGGTTTCTGCTGCTGAGCCCCACTTTTAGAGGTTTTTGCCAGCAGAACGGGGACGGCTGAGCAAGACTTGTCACAGCTAATTCTGTTGCCTGGCATAGTTGAGTAGATGAAAACTGCTGCAGGTTTAGTGCCAGGTTTTCTGGCAGGTAGGGAGTGGCACCATGTGCCACTTGGCTGTCCCTGCTGTGAAGGTGCCAGCCAGCGCAGGAGGGGCAGGGGATGGGGTGGTAGACAATGCTGCCCCTGCAACCCAGAGCTGAGTCCATCAGCACTCTGTCACTTGTCTCCCTGCTCTTTTCTCTACCTCATTGGCCTTCAGAAGAACACACAGGCCTAAATACCGCTGGGATAAATTTTTCCTAGAGGTACTGGAGTTCCCTGAGGCACGGCTTGTGCCCCTCATCTTTTCTGACCACTAAAATAGCCCATGTCTTTAGAAAATGGGAGCCTTAGTAACTTTTTTGAGTTTCCTGAAAGGAACAAGGCCCTGGGACAGCAAGCAGCATTCTCAGAGCACTGGCAGGGCAACAATGCCAGCAAGCTGAAGACACCTTGATAAATGGATTAATTGAATGATGGGCCATGTTTGCCTGAGATAGCAAGGGACTGGACTTGAAGACGCAGGTGCAGGTGGTCCCCTCAGTCCCATTTCTGCATATTCCTGGTAACCTGCAGAATACTGCTTGAGCCCATCAGTAACTGAGTTTGG